GCCAACTAAGCTACAACTCTTCCTCCGAATACAACGTACCGTCATTATAGCTGAATTTGGCGCATCTTTCAGTCTACATACAGCTATAACGACCATATACGTTGTATTCGGGGGAAGAAGGGCAAGCCAGTTTGTAGCTTTGCCCACTTCGCAAGCCGGTGCAGACTCCAACTCCGCCATCGCTATCCTGCTACCGTCTTCACCCGAATAGAACGCCCGGTCATTATAGCTGTATTTGATGCTACTTTCAGTCTAAATACAGCGATAAAGACCGGGCGTTCTATTCGGGTGAAGACGGTAGGCGCGTCGGTACCCACGAGTTCCAACGGGATTTCGAATCGCTCCACCATCGCGATACGAAAGCGGCAGATCCCTTTCCACGTTCTCTACTTCCTCCTCCTCCTCCTCCTCCTCCTACTCCTACTCCTCCCTCTCTTCCTCCTCCTCCTCCTCCTCCTCCTCCTCCTCCTACTCCTCCCTCTCCCTCTCCTCCTCCTCCCCCCCCTCCCCCCTCTCGCTCCGCCCACTGCATACCGTTTCGCTGTTCGCTGGTAAGAAGCGAAGTCATCCCAGAGGAATGAAACAGCAAATCCCTTTCCACGTTCTCTACTTCCTCCTCCTCCTCCTCCTCCTTCTCCTCCTCCCTCTCCTCCTCCTCCTCCTCCCTCTCCTCCTCCTCCTCCTCCTCCCTCTTCTCCTCCTTCCTCCTTGCTCCTTGTCCAACATAAGCATCGGGCTTTTCATTTTTACCTGCCAGGCTTATGACATGCTGTCCACGCTTTCCTCCTCCTACGAGATAGGGCGTCGCCGCACGGAAGTCGAGACAAAAAAACGAAAGGAGTGCACCTTCCCACAGAAAATGGCCAGGTTCATCAGTTTGCTATAAATAATGACGAGTGTATTTTGCCACGTTTCATGGGCAGATGCACTCGTTTCGTTTTCGTTTCCTCTGCCGCGTGGCGAGGCCCATAGACATGCGGGAGGAGGAGGAAAGAGAGGAGAGCATGGGCGGAGAGCATGTCATCCTTCCTGCCTCCACCCATAGCAAACTGATGAACCTGGCCATTTTCTGTGGGAAGGTGCACTCGTTTCGTTTTTTTGTTTTGAATGCCGTTGCGCTCAAGGAGCAGGGGAGTCGTCAGCATCCTCGCCATCCCTCTCTCCCTCTGCCACGTCATCACCCACAAATTCTTTTTTTTCCCCTTTTTTTTCGCGCGCAAATTCTATGCCACGTCATCGCGCACAAAATGCCATGTCATCATCACGCACAAATTCTTTTTTCTTCCATTTTCTTTTTTTTTTGCTCTCTTCTTTTCCCCGCAAATTCCACGCCACGTCATCACGCACAAATCCTGAATTCCTTACCGCACAAATTCCATGCCACGTCATCGCGCACAAATAAATTAATGTCCACGTCATCGCGCACAAATTGCAGTCCACGTCATCACTAACAAATCATGTACGTCAACACAAACGAATTCTCCACGTCATCATCCAGAACGAATCCACGTCAGCACCTAGACCTGGTCCACGTCATCATGCATAAATATAACACGTCACGGATCCTCCTCCTCTTCTGCGTCGTCTTCTCGTTCCCATTTGTCCACCCATTTCAATCCTCCCTCCGCCTCCCTCCTCCTCCCTCGTACGCCTTTCAAGCCGGACACTCCTCCTCCTCCTCCTCCTTCTCCGCGGTACTTGTCGCCCCACTTCCGCCCTACCCCGCCGCCCCTCCGCGGCTGGCCATTCTCCTCTCTCCCTTTTTTCCCCTCCGCGCCTGACCCTTATCCTCCTTCTCCTTGTCTGTCCCTCCTCCTCCTCCTTCCTCCTCCTTCCTCCTCCTCTCTCCTCCCCCGCCTCTTCCCTCCTTATCCTCCTCCTCGTCGTCCACCCCTCCTCTTCTCCGCCCGCCTCGTCCGTCTGCCTTCCGCGTCTGACTCTTCCCCCCTCCTCGTCCGTCTGCCTTCCGCGCCTGACTCTTCCCCCCTCCTCGTCCGTCTGCCTTCCGCGCCTGACTCTTCCCCCCTCCTCGTCCTCCTCTTCCCCCTCCCCCTCCACCCTCGTGCCCTCTTCTCCTTCGCCCTCTTCCTGCATCTTGCTCTGTACCTCACTTTGGCTGTGCCTGACCGGAAATATGTACCTGACCGGGAATATGGTTTGTATACATTCATTATCAGGGTGCGTTATGTTCGGGGGAAGACGGATTCAGGAATGTGCAGCGCACACACATTGACATACAAACGAAAGCGAATTAGCCTGGCGCAGATCCAGACAGCGCGGGCGCAGAGAGCCAGCGAGAGAGAGAGAGACAGACACACACACACACACACACACACACACACAGAGAGAGAGAGAGAGAGAGAGAGAGAGAGAGAGAGGAGGGGTGGACTTCGAGGGCGGAGGGAAGAGTAGGAAACCGAGGGGAGTGAGTGGGGATGTCACCTTTGGCCATGATGGGAACGGCGATGGCGAGGAGGAAGATGACAGCTATAGTCCACAAGATTCAATGGCGCGAGATCGGACGGCGCACGGGGCGCACGGGAATGCGCGAGTAGGGGCCCCCTCAAGGCAAAACCGCCGTTACGAGTAGAAACAAAGGGGTCCCGTCCACTACAGAACATTTGTAAATGCATCTGGAGCCGAGCATTGTCCAGATACATGCAAAATGTGTTGGATTGAACTGAATGTATGCGGTCCATCCAGGTCCAGTCCAGGTGCATGTAGACTGTTGTGAGGTGTCCTTCGGGACATCCGTTGAAATTGGAAGGATACAGATACAGAGAATATTAGCATAAATCGAGAAATGGTCCAAATTATTTATTAAAAAAAATGTTGTGAGGTGGGGCTGGACCCAAATGCAAACGACCAAAAAAAAA